GTGGGTTCCAACTTGACAGTACAACAGCAGCAACAACAAAAAGAACACAAAAAGGACACTTGTTTACATTAAGAGAGGTGAAGTAGGAGGGCCAAGCACCACCTTGTCTGTTCAGCCTTAGGTGGCAAACTGGGTGTCAGTGAATCAGCTTTTTCCCCCCCCCCCCACTTTGTATAAATTGCAAGTGACTGTGTGATCACATAGAGTACTGATTTGAGGGTTACAAGCACGTTTTAGTATGTGAGCAAATATACAATCTACAAATAATGAGGATTCACTGTAGCTATACAACTGTATAGCAAGTTGGAGTTAAAAGTGCAGAAGGAAAAGCAATTCAAGATTCTTCAAGGGTTGTGTAGTTGACGGAATAATGGTCCCCAGAAATATATAGGTCCTAATCCCTGGAACCTGTAAATTACTTTATATGGAAAAGGGGTCTCTGCAGATGTAATTAACGATTTTAAGATGGAGAGATTATCCTGGATTGTCCAGGTGGTCCCAAATTCACCATTTTAAGAGAATAGCCATTTAAAAGAATTATGTTATGTACCGTCAAATCAGAACGAATACATAGCTGATCTCCAGAAGGTTTTCAGAGGCAGTATATCACATGAGAGGAGACGGAATATCTTTCTCTCACGTAGCAGCTGTGGAATTTGAACTGCTTACTCTGGTGGCCCAGTGGCAAGAAGCTGTACTGCAATCCCGAAGGCATGTGGTTCGAGGCCATCAGCTGCTCTGCAAAGGCTGGGCAATCTCCTCCCGTGCGATTAACTACCTCTGAAAACCTGCCAGAGAGTCAGCTATGGTTTCGTTCTGACTCTACGGTACACAAGAACACAACAACAACCTAGGGTTAGAGTACAACTCCTTACTACAAGGCTACCAGAACTCCCATGCCAGCCACCATTTTAAGAAAAAGACAAGAGGCAATTTGGTTACATAAAAGAAGGCAATGTGACAATACACTCTGGTTCTGCTGAGGGAGGAAGGAGCTGAAAACAAAGAGATGGAAGAAGCCAGCAGAAGCCAGAGGGGGTAAGAAAACGAATTATCTGCAAAAGTGTCCAGGAAAAGCACAGCCCTGTCTACAACCTGATTTTAGGTGAAACAAAAAAACAGCTGCCATTATGAACTGGGCTCCTTTAGGGTTTTCAGCAGCTGATTCTTTCAGAAGTAAATCACCAGGCTTTAATTCCGAGATAGCTCAGATGACTTGAACTAACCTTTCCGTTAATAGTCAAGCATGTTAACCATTTACACCACAAAGAAACTCCGGATTTTAGACTAGTAAAATTGAGTTGGAGTTTTTGGCTTCCAGAGGATAAACATATGTTCATTTAAAGCTACCAAATTCATAGCAGTTTGTTACAGCAGCTATATGAAAATAATCCCAGTGACAATCAAATTGACCTCCAAAGTCATGCATCATGTAGTTTTACTTACAGTTGCTAATTGATTAAAATATAAGCCAATAGTGGGGCTATAGTTCCTCTATCAATTGTGATCCGTTCATGTGTGACCATCTGAGAAAATGCAAGATTAGATCGGGTACAGAATCAGACATTCAGTGCTGGGCACACTTGTTGACATGAAGAGTAAACATCTAAACAGAAATGTCTGCAGTGCTCTCCTTGGCGCCCTGACCTCTAGATAATATTCTTTCCTTAGCTCTTCTCTGGATTCAACCATGACCTCTGTCTATGATTCCAATCCCAGAATTTCTTCAAACTTCCTGTGTTTCCTTGGGTCTAATCTTCACCTGGATGTTCTAACATCTCTAAAATGAGATTCAACATTTACTTCCCAAATGTGCTCTGCCTTACCATGCCCTGTCTCCTTTAAAGACATAATTTCTCTGCCACTCACCTTGAAATGTATCTGGAAATAATCTATGATGTTTACCTTTTCTTAACCTCTAATTGCTAACTCCTATTAATTTTACCTCAGTTGTACTTATTGGTTGTTTAAACCCTCATGCTTCTTATAAGCCTTTCATATAAAGTCTCTTCCTGGTCCAATTCATTTTAAACAGACTGTTTGAAAGTAGTGGATAGGTCACCTATTGATTTAAAAAATACATGTATCTCATTGGTCATTCTGGAAGTTGCTAAGGCTACAAGATCATTCAAAACATGTACAAATGACTTTTCCTAATGAGACGGACAAATTCATTTTATATTAAAAAAATAACATCATAAATGGAAGAGGTTTGGTAGAATCAGGAAATCATTATTTTTCAACTCTTAATGAAATAACAAGGGGCACTCTGGTGGCCTTGTGGTAAGGCCAAGCCAAAGGCACATAGTTTAAATCAGACCAGTTGCTCAGAGAAGGATGAGCTATCTCTTCCCAGATGATTTACTGCCTCTGAAGATCTGCTGGAGGGTCAGCCCTGAGCCAGTCCCACCTCCACAGTACCTAACAACAATAGCAACAGTGAAATAATAAGCCTAATGGATTAAGCGCCTGGTTGTTAACTGAAAGGTCAACAGTTCCAACCCACTAAAGGCCCTGTGGGAGAAAGACGAGGTAATCCACTCCTGTACAGATTCACAGCCCTGAAACTCTAGGCGGCAGTTCTCTGTCCTATAGAGTCCTGTGAGTAAAAATTAACTTGATAGCAGTGGGCTTAATAAAATAATGTTGGGGGAAAAAATAATGTTAGACAGGCAACATTCATTAATAGCAGCTAAAACCACTAGGTGAAAGAAGATTTTATAATGAATGAAACCACCTGATCCCACTGGCCAGGCTTAACATCACTGAAGGTGAAACTGTCAGACATGATGGTCCTATTGAGTTGATGCAGTACATGGTATATGACATCAACTATGGAGGGTTCTTTTTAGGGGTAAAGAACTAGAATCTAATCAAAAGTCCATACTGAAGCACCAGTTTAAAGAAAACATGAGAGACAGAGGAATATTTGTAACACTATGTTTTGTAACACAAAACCTGAATGGAGAAAACTGTACAGATAAATGATCCAGTTTATGACTAAAATAAATGGCCAAAGGAGATAAATAAAATGAAGGTAAATGTGTAGCATAAAGTATACATCAACTAAATGCAACACTGGATCCTGATGTAAACAGTTAAGATATTTTTGAAACAGGAAAACTGAACAGATACTATTACATGAATGTTTAATGAAATCTTACTCATTATACTGAGTTTGACAATGATATTGTGATTTGATTAAAATTAACTTTTTTTAGGGAGCTCTGGCGGCCTAGAGGGTAAGGAGTTGCACTGCCAAAACAAAAGCGGGCAGTTCGAATCTACCACCTGCTTTGCAGGAGATAGATGGGCAATCTCCTCCTGTGTGATATATAGCCACTAAAATCCACTTGAGGGTCAGCTACGCGTCAGTTCTGACTAGACAGCAATGAGTTGAGGGGTTTATTTGGTAGATATGTATGTATACACACACATACACAATGAACTTTCCTGAACATTTAAAAGTGTTAGACATTATTACACTTTGCTCCTCCTACCTTTTCTCCCCATGCCATTAACATTTTTGAGATGTCCAGGTCAATTATCTTAGGGAACAAGTTACACTCAGCATTTTTCTAATAAATTTCCTATGATTATAAACACTGTGGGCTAGAAAATGAAACTGCTGACACTGTATAATTCTTTTATCATAGATGTCCTACTTTCAGCGATATTAATTTTGAAAACTTAAGTCACTGTGGCAACCCCAAAATTTCCCATCGGAAAGATATCGTTTCCTCTTTACAATTATTGCATGAACTATAGGTTCTATTTAATTCCTTGTGAAGATGCTGTTCTTCAACATCTTTCTTTCCTCCAGTGGGTTCAGCATCCATTTTGAAGTGCCTTTGAGTTGACGCGAACCTCCAATCTTTCAGTCAGCAGCCAAGCTTAGTAACTGTGACTTCACCCAAGATGACCTAGTGGATTCAACATTCTAGTTTAAGGAAAAAAGTAGCCATTATCTTAGAAGCTCTCTTCCCCAACCCATAAAATCCCCTTCTTCATTAGAGAAAAACTCTATCTTTGATTTAATATTTCTTTGTCTCTCTTTTCCTATATTTTTTACCACATTTGTTTACAGCCTTAAACATAATGACTTCCTTTCCCACTCTGTAATTTTATACAACTGGAATCCTTTTGCATATACCTCCTGTAACATGCTTAGTTCAGTTAATATTATATTCCTGAGAGATAGATAATATCATGGTGTCGCACATAACTAGAATTCACGACTACGTGGAATTATAAAGTTTGGTCATAGTACAATGTATTTTTTCAACCTATCTTTGATGGATATTAGGGTTGCTTCCTATTCTTTTGTTTACTATAACAAAGTTCGATGCATGCTCTTGTAAGAATTAGAAAGGATTAGAATTGAGGGCACATACAACATCAATTTTATGAAATAGTGCCAAATTGTTTTCAAAGAGATTATAGGTCACTTATCTTTTCATGGGTATCAGTGCTCCAAATGGCTTGTGAACCAATAAAGGCATAAAAGGTCTTACACTTCTTTGCCTAGATAGTAGATAATCAATAAATATTTATTAGTTTGTTGATTCATTAATTTTTATAAAAAAATTGAAGATATGAAGAACAAAGAAATACACTAGGGGAAACAGTCAGTGGTAAGGAAATTTTTTATGTAAAAAAGAACTACTTTTCTGCAACTGTAGTGAAAAATTAAGAGGGAATAATGAAAGCAGCAGCTAAATACCAATCAATATTCTTTTAACAGGGTGCTTTCTCTGCTCACTGAGTGCTAAGGAGTTGCACTGCCATCCCAAAGACTGAGAGTTTGAAAACACCAGATGCTCCATGCAAGAAGAATGGGCAGTCTCTTCCAATGTGATTTATAGCCTCTGAAAACTCGCTAGAGGGTCAGTGATGAGTTAGTTTCAACTTGAGGGCAAACAACAACTACAACAACCATTCTCTAACAAATTATAGCCAATTAAGGGGAAAACAAAGCAGGATACTTTTCCAGACAGGCTCTAACATGTATTATGCTTCTTTTTCTCAATCATTTTCTCCTTCTTCCACTCATTCAAGGTCTTCAGTACTTCAGGGGCCTTAGGTCGTTTCCTGGGTTCTTTTGAGAGTAATTTTTGTAGAAGAATTTTCTGTAATGTTAATAAGAGTCAATACAAAGAAATAAAACAAGTAAATGAAATTCTGATCATTTTCATTACTTACTTCCTTAGCATCATATATATCTGGGAAGAAACCTTCCCTAAGATTCTGAAAAACCTGAAAAGAAAAAGATTTGTAATTAGGACATTATCTACTAGAGAGAAGAAACAAACTTTAAAATCGTTAAAGACTGAAGGTACTCAGAATCTTTGGGAAATTTTCTTTAGTCAAGAAGCAAACAAAAATCTCTGCACAATACCCTGCTGCAAACACAAGCCTCATAACCACTGCTGACACTTATTAATGCTATTGTTAGGTGTCTTTGAGTCTACTCCAACTCCTAACAAGCCTGCGCACAAAAGATTGAAACCTTGCTTGATCCTGTGCCATCCACACAGTCTCCAGTGTTTATGGCCATTGTTGTAGTTGCTGCATCAATTCTTTTCATGGAGGCTCTTCCTCCACTGAAGACTCCGCTTTTCCAGAGATGATGTCTCTTTCCAAGGGCTGTTGTTGCTGTTGTTATAGTTGTGTACCGTGGAGTCAGGACCAACTCACAGCTGAGCCTCCAGGAGATTTTCAGAGGCTATATATCGCACCAGTAGCCAGGAAATTAAAAGACGTATTGCCATGGGAAAGTCGGCTGTTAGGGACCTCTCCAAAGTGCTGAAGAGAAATGGTGTCTCTCTGGAGACTGAGGTGTATCTGATACAGGCCATGGTCTTTGCAATCACTTGTTATGCATCAGAGAGTTGGACAATGACTAAGGAGGATAGACAGAGAACTGATGCCTTTGAGCTGTGGTGCTGGAGAAGAGTATTGAGGGTACCATGGACTGCTAGGAAAACAAACAGATTCATCCTGGAAACGGTCAAACCGGGCGGCTCCTTGGAGGCAAGGATTCTGAGGCTCCATCTAACATACTTTGGACACGTTGTAAGGAGGGACCGGTCCTTGGAGAGGGACATCATGCTTGGGAGGGTGGAGGGACAGCACAGGAGGGGAAGGCCCTCTATGAGGTGGACTGACTCAGTGACTGGGGTAATCGGGATGGGTGTATCGGAGATGGTGTGATCGGTACAGGACAGAGCAGAGTTTAGGGCTGTTGTACATAGGGTCGCTATGAGTTGCAAGCGACTCGACGGCACATAACAACAATATATCGCACGGGAGTCAATTGTCCATCTTCCTCCCATGGAGCAGTTGGCAGACTAGTTCAAGGACTATTGTTGTTATGTGTCATTGAGTCACCCACGACTCATAGCAACCCCATGTACATTAGCTCTGACCCCTGCCCTATCCTGAGCCAGTCTCACTGACAATGACACACCTAATCCCATTGCCCCAGTTGCCATGTCAATCTATCTCATCCAGGGTCTTCCTCTCCTACACTTTCCCTCCATCCTTCTGAGCATGTCCTTCTCCAGGGACTGGTCCCTCCTGGCCATGTGTCCAAAGTATGTGAGGCAGAGCTTCAAAATCCTAGCCTCCGGCAAGAAATTTGGTTTCACCCTCAGCAAGACAGACCTATTTGTGCTTCTAATAGGCTAAAAGTATATTACTGAATATGTATGTGAGATGAATTTCCAACACTCTTCTACTGAAAGAGCACCTTGGTTATACTTCTTTAAAGATAGATTTTTCTTTCAGCTAGATAGATACTCCTTTCAGCAGTCCATAGCATATTCCATATTCTTTGCAAATATCATGATTCAAAGGCACCAATTCATTGTTCGTCTCCCATTTTTATTGCTGAGCTTTCGTATGCAGATGAAGCAATTGAAAATAACAAGTCTTAGATCAAACAGACATCCTGGCTTTTAACACTGTATTGAAGTTTGTTGTTTTTTGTTTTACTAAAACCAAACTATTCTAACATGATAAATTTAACATAATATTTTCCTCAAGGTTAAATTCCTTTACACCTATTTTTTAGACATCATTTATAATTATTAAGTTTCTATAGGTAAATAATTTGTTGTTGTTGGGTGCCACTGTGTCAGTTCCAACTGAACTACACTTGAGCCCATTGTTGTAGTTACGATGTCAATCCATTTTGTTGAGGGTCTTCCTCGTATTCTCTGCTCTTTTCCTTAAGGAAGTCTGATGTCCTTTTCCAGAGGCTCTGGTAACTTAGTTCATAGTGTCTTGTGCTAAAATAATGGCCATACAACTCAGGCAGTTCAAATCCACCTTCAGCTCCACAGAAGTAAAATGAGCAGTGCCCTCTCATTAAGATTTACCATCTCAGAAATCCAACAGAGGGTCTCTATGAATTGAAACCAACTCAACAGCAGTGAGTCCTTGGAGAAGGACATCATGCTTGGGAGGGTGGAGGGACAGCACAGGAGGGGAAGACCCTCTATGAGATGGATTGATCAGTGACTGGTGTAATCAGGATGGATGTGTCAGAGGCAGTGAGATTGGCACAGGATAGAGCAGGGTTTAGGGCTGTTGTACATAGGGTCGCTATGAGTCGCAAACGATTCCAAGGCACATAACAACAACAACAACAATATTGAATCACCTGTGTTTTGGAATGATCATAAATACAAGTCTCTTCCAGTATGTTGGTTAAGTAACTACCTTCCAAATTTCTTGCCATAAACAACATTACCAAGTCTTAAGGAGTCGGAAAATCAAAAGGGCCGAACTCGCTCAGCATATCTTAAGCCCAAGGAACTGAAGAACAAATTCAAACCTCAAGTTGCTATAATCAAGGATGCTTTCGGCAGAACGTTAAATGATCCTGGAAGTATTAAAAGAAGATGGAAGGAATATACTGAGTCACTGTATCAAAAAGAATTGGAAGACACAGAAGAATTTCATGAAACAACAT